GAGCCACCATGCCCAGCCTGGTACTGATTATGTCCTATTTTTGGATCTGAATGCTGATTATATAGTATGTGTTCTGCAGTGAAAATAAATTCCAAGAATGTATTATTTGTACACTTATCTCCCGGTATGTTATACCTCTATAAAATGTTTAAAAACACACATACGTGCACATACAAGATACCAGGGAGGCCAACTTCTGCAGGCAAATCCAGCTTATCAGAGCAGATCAGCTTATGACTACTCAGCTAAAGAAATACTATACATTCTTACTCTTTGAACAAGAGCAAATAAAAAGCAAAAGCAAAATAAAACTCTCAGTGATGGATGCTACAAGATCAAGTCAGTAACAAAATTTAAACTTCTAATAGGAATACCTCTTGGAATGTGTTGTCTATTTAAGTTGCCTCATTCACTTAACAGATCAAGCCTGTCTCAAAAGATACGGAATAATATAGTAAAAAGTAGAAACTAGACTAAAAATTAAACAAGTGTAAAAATTCAAACCAGCCATTAAATCACCAACACAATCCTCTTCCCTGATTCCTGAACAACTTTATTTGCCACTCCCTGATAATGAAGCAATTTTATCTCATCTACAAGGAATCCCAACCTAGGTATTCCTGAGAGATATGGAGAAGTCTACCACAGAAAAGAGCCTTAAGCTTCAGCCAGTTAAGTTACAGCAAACACTACAGAATCCAAATACATAAATCAGCTATTTAATCAGATAACTGTTAAATGACTAAGTATTCATTTTAAAATGCTTTTTCAGCATTAACTGCCTGTCCTCTCAAGACCCAGTATCTCAATTACTTTCCTTTTCTAAGATAGGGAATGGGTGTTTACCTTTACCACCCATCTTCACCTGTTTATATCCTAGCCTATCTTTCACATATCAACTCTTCTACCCAGAATGTATTAACTAGAAAATCCTAGAAAGATCACATATGAATTCGAATACCAGCATTTTAAAAAGTAATTCTTTCTTGTAGGTAACAAAACTGCTGTTCAGCTTCATTGTTTAAGAATCAGACATTACTCTTAAATTAATTTGAGCCACAACTCACCCATCCAGCAAAAGATTACACTGAAAATGCAAAGATGATGCTCAAAAGTGATAAAATTCCACCAATAAGTAACCATTTTTATAGAACATCTTGAGTCACAAATTAATTTTCTTAGCATATCAGCGTCAGCAAATACATATGCATTAAAGTCAAACCCATCACAACTAATAAACATACTACCTTTAAAAAATAAACACTCTGGGAAGACATTAAATAATCTTCATAGAGCGAGTAAGTGCTTAAATCTCATACGAACTTCATCGACAGTGTTAAAAAAGACAAAAATGTTCTCATGTCCAAGTTAAACTTCCTATCAAATTATTTTAAGATCTAAAAGCTCTCCAGAATTCCCAAGAAAGTAGCATTCCTATTTGGTTTAGAAATGCTCAATATACTAAGGGGAAAAAAAAGGAACATCTGGCACTTGCTCTATTCTTAAATCAACATTCCGTACAATAGATACACTTACACTTATAATTCCACTAACAATTAAAAAGTTGCAAGTCAACAGTTAATAGCAAATGAAAAAGTGAAAAATATAAACAGCCCCTAAGATATCCGCACCCAGCTGCTCAGTCGCACATAAACGTACGCTGCACATGACAGGCACGCAAGGCACAATGCTAAGGCTGTGCTTGATACAAAGTTGTATAAGACAGCATCCCTACTGACACCCAACAAACTTAGTTATGCTTTCAGGAAAGCTATGTTGAAATGCAAATCTTGCAATCCCTACTCTAAACTGTCGATTAAACCTGAGCACACTATAAAAGCTGCAGTCGCTCCCTCCTAATCCTTAGAAAGCATTTCCTGCCTGGAAATCCTATCTCACCCAAGCCTTCCAAAAACTTTTTCCGTTTTCTCAACCTAGTCTATGAAGCCTAAGCCCGCCCCTCACCTCCCGCCCCCTACACCCCCCTACACACACCCACTAGGGGACCTCAACACTCGGCAGACGCCACTCCACTCGGGCACGCAAAACACATGTGCCTGCAAACCCAGCCCCTTTCCACACCCCCCGGAAACGACACCCCCTTCCTCACACTCCGCACGCCACAGCCCATCCCCCTTCCTCCCCGCCCCCACTCACATCACCCCAGTCCTCCCACCCATGTTCCCGGGAACCCAGCTTCCCCTCGCTCCAGAGCTAGCCGAAGGCAGTAGGGAGGGGAAGCAGGAAGAAGGAAGGAGGGCTCGCGCCTGGCTTAGGCCTCTCAGACCGCCGCGGGAGGTGAGGGGGGGAACCCGCGGGCCGGGCTCACTCCCGTCGGCAGGCAGGGCCTCATCCGGCCCCAGGCCTTACCTCCGCCGCCACGAACCCCCACCCCCCGCCCGGACCACACTCACTTGCCAGCCGCGGTCCATCGAGTCCCCCGCTGCTGCCTCCGCCGGCTGCAGCTCCTGCCCCCGGGCCCCCCAGGTCTGGCTTCTTGGGCCCGGGGGGCGGCCCCGCTCCCCCGCCAGGCACCGCTCCCGGCGGAAAGCCGGCCACGGGCGCACCCGCCAGAGCCAGGGGGACGCTGTTGCTATGGAGGCCGAGGCCCGGGGCAGCCCCGGCGGCCGGGTCCTCATGCAGGAACTGACACTCCTCCCCGTAGAAGCAAGTCTTATCCTTGGCGTAGTAGCGGCA